CACCCGCGGTGACGCACCGTCCCCCGACCTCCACATTCGCCTGTTTATGGCTGACGCGCTTATGGAGCGCGCATCTGCTACTTGCCAATGGATTGTCGATTCCGGCGCATCTGTCAATATGTCGTCACGTCGTGACTGGTTCGTACATTACGCGGATCTCAGTCCTCCGAGACGCGTATGGCTCGGAGACGAGCGATACATTCTCGCCGTAGGCATCGGCCAGATTCCGGTCGTACTAGCAGCGCAAAATGGTCAGAGAATTCCAACGGTCATACAGGGTGCATACTATGTCCCTGAACTGAATGGGAATCTCCTTTCAGCTTCCAGACTCACGGACCGCGGATATATTCTTTCATTCCGCGAGAACACCTGCGAGATCTCCCATAATGGCGAAATCGCCGGCATTGCCCGGAAAGCAGATGGCCTGTACATTCTCGACTCGACCCCGCATGGCCAAGCGCGAGCCTATGTCGTGCACACAGATCCATACACGGATCATGATGACATTCCACTTATGGCTCTTGCAGCCAAGGAATCGACGTCAAAGGCGAACGTCGAGACCTGGCACCGACGACTCGGACACATCAGCATCGAGTCGGTCCTGAAAATGGTGCGAAAAGGGATGGTCAGCGGGATGAACATCGTGGGCAGCACAACTCACGATACAGCAGCCTGCAAGGCCTGTCTTGAAGCGAAGCAGGCCCGCAACCCGATTCCAAAGCAATCGGATGTGGAGAACCCTCGCATTCTCCATCGTACCTTCTCCGACGTCTGCGGTCCTATGCTGACCCAGGCGAAAGGCGGAGAACGTTATTTCATAACGTTCATTGACGGCAAGTCGCATCACCTCGTTGTCCACCTGATGAAGACGAAGGACGAAGCCCTCCGCCACACCAAAGCATATTTCGAGCGCGCCGAGGCAGAAATGGGCAAACGCGCCAACATCCTGCGCAGCGACGGCGGTGGTGAGTATGGTTCGCAAGACTTCAAAGCTTACCTCGAATCCAAGGGGATCCATCACGAAACCACCAACGCCTACACGCCGCAGGAGAATGGCGTCGCGGAGCGCATGAATCGCATGATCGTCGAAATGGGCCGTGCGATGTTGCAAGACAACGGACTACTGAACTCGTTCTGGGGATATGCGGTACTGTACGCCGCGCACATCCTCAATCGGGTGCCAACCAAGGCTCTCAAGGATGACATAACGCCTCATGAGGCCTTCACGGGCAATAAGCCCTCCGTGGCACATATCCGGACCTTCGGTTGCACAGCACACGTCCACATCCCGGACGAGAAACGCCGCAAGCTCGATCTCAAGTCGGTCGAGTGCGTTTTCCTCGGGTATGCGCAGAACCGCAAAGCGTTCATCGCTTTTGACCGCAAAAGTGGGCGCACGTACGAATCACGCGATGTCGTATTCGATGAGGGTGAGAAGACTCGCGTGGTAATTGACCCTGAGCCTCGGCTGCCTGAGATACAGGGCGAACCATCAAGCAGACCTGCTGATGCTCCCGAAGTCCCTCTCGAAGATCGCGACGTACACATCGAGACCGTCACCGACGACGAGGATGACACGGCACCCTCGCCCAGCCGCCGCGCCGTATTGCCGCATGCACTCGCATGCAGTCCCTCGCCTCCTCCGTCGCCGAAACGCGATGTTAAGGAGGACAACTCACTTAATCGTCCCATCAATCCCCCTCAATCTCGCACTCGAGCTCATCCCGCAGCTGCTCCCCCTGCCTCTACTTCAGCTCCAGAAGGATCAACCCGTCGTTCTACACGTGCGCGCCGAGCGCCGATCCGTGATGACGACCCAAGGTTCTCAGTCAGCGCATACCGGTCAAAGACGATCGGAGAGAGCCTCAAGGACAAGAAGAAGCAGGGAGCAGAACAGATAGTCGAGGCAGAGGACGAAGGGTCGCCGAGATGGACAGAGACACAGGTGGGAAAGGGGGACGCTGAGGAGTCCGCGGACGAAGTCGAACGTGCGCTGGATGCAGATGCCTACCGCGCGTCTACGGACGAAGATCCACTCACCTACGAAGACGCGATGTCCCGGCCGGACGCCGAGCAATGGAAGGCTGCGATGGCCGAAGAACTTGCCGCGTTCGTCAAGGCCGAGCTTTACGACGAGTGCGACCGCCCACGCAACCGCAAGATCGTCGGCTCTAAGTGGGTCTTCAAGCGCAAACTC